GACATGTTCCCCTAAGCCTACTTCCAACTGCCCCTGAGCCTTCACGTAAAGCGAGCCCATACTGTCAGAGATTTCCAAACAGCAAGCACGTTGGCTCCAGGCGTTGAACATGATTCGAGGAGACCGCACCGAGCTCCTGAGACTGAGATAAGATGTAAAGGGCCTTGATGGAATAGGGTTTTGAGGCATATTATATTGTGAGTATAATAAGGAACCCGAAGGAATACTCTTGGCAATTGTTTCGGCTTCTATGTCAGACATGGGCGTGCCGGGAACATCGATGTAACGGCCCCGGGCACTACCACCATAATCTGTGCATTTGGTGGTCTCTCTCGTGATACTGGGAAGCAAGCAAACAGGGTGCCATTATCCTTTGGGGTCACTGGGAAGCCTAACAAAGAGGTCTGAATTATGAGTAATCATTCCCCCCCTTATTTTAGTCCTTGCATACTTCCACTATGATGTACCCCAAAACCGCTGGCTAATTATTGCTGCTAATTGTGGAGGGCGAAATCTCTGGAGCCTCAACCCTTAACCCGAACTCAAAAGCCCCGAAGCGGAACCTGGGCCCTCCCGGACCTGTAGGAAATGAATTCCCTGGTGCCCGGAGATGTATCACAGGTTGGATATGCACCGTTGCATGATCTGGACACATAGGAAACAACAGGCCAAGGAAAGATGTTTGGGCTGTAAATACTCGCATGTCTGTCTGCACAGTGCACTTGCGCAATTTTTACATCGTATGATATTGCACTGCATAGTGCGCCGTGACTGGTACTGGCTAGACAGGTATGAAGAGCAACGATAACGTGATCTAGTCGCAGTCGAAGTCAAGGCACGGGCTGTTAATGTATGTATGTAATAATGTAAGTGTGTATGTTTGTATGTATGTATGCATCTATGTATGCCTCTGTGTTTTATATTGCCGGGTAGGTGGATGTGGGTAGAGGGCCAGGTAGGTACGTATGTGTCTACGTACGTATGTACGCAGGTATGCATGTGCATACACATGATGCGTGTAGGTAGACTGATGCAGATGGATAGAAAGTGCGCAACTTCGACATCTCAGGAACGAGCCTGCGGGCAGGAAGAGCAAAAGACAGTGGTCTCCGAAGCATCGACGCTCGGCAATTACTGTGAGTCTCTCGTACGAAACCTGCTCCATGGATGGCGGACACGACCTGGATCAGTGGCCGCCCGGACAGGGGCAGAAAGTGGATCCGAGAAACCTTGTGGCAGATGTGTATTCGAACAAGAGCCGTATGAAGGAAGTCTCAACAAAGAAATGAAGCCTTTTCACTAGCGATGTGGCAGTGGAGCATAGGTCAACATGAAAGCCATCAGTCGCAGCAGCAGCTTCCGCGCAAGCAGGAGTAGCAGTAGCATTGACTGCTACGCCTGTCACTACCAATACTAAGACTACAACCAGAGCCACCCACCACCGCCGCTACAAAGAGCGCTACTGCTGCTTGCACTGCGACGACGACGACAACAGCAGTGCCAAAATTGATTGAAGAATTACCATCAACGTAAGGATGCATTGCGAAGGTGGGCTGTTGCGCCAAACCCGCAACCGCAACAGTGGCAAGCCCAAAGCACTGAATAATGTTCAGATCCTATGTCCCAAACTCTTGTTTAGCCTTTACGCGTACTGATTGTTTTGCCTGACCTCTAAAAGCCTAGACCCTTGCTTTACCTTTCTACATCCTGACTTTCTGCATACCGACTACCAAAGTTCCTCCTTAACTATGACATTCCACTGAGGTCGTGAGGAGCGCGTTCACTCCGGCTCGGAACCGCCGGGATCGCCGAGGAGCGAGCGCTGGAAGCGGTTACTATAGGGGCCTTAAAAGTGAAGCACCTACAATATTTTGGGGGGTTCCTTCTTATGATTATAGTATAATGGGCCCCGAAAACCCTATGCTAATTATTAAGGCCCCAAAATTATAGTACCCCTTATTCCCTTATAGTAACCCGTATAGACCTCTTCAAAAAGGGACCCTATTCTAATTATTAAGACCCCTATATTAACTGTGCAGGATTGGGATGGTGAGGTCTAGACTTAGACTTCTCTCAGAGACTCCAAAACCCCTTAATTAAGAAATATACCTTAAATTATAGTAGGAGCCCTAATATGATCTAAGGTATATTCCTTAATTAAGGGGTGTTGGAGGTTCTGGGCTCTGGGACTCTTGCGGATTAGGCTCAGAGTCACGAGGTTCAAGGTTGGTAGTGTGGGCTGGGGCGTTTGGCTCAGGTGGTGGTGTTAATTTTAGAGGTCCCTGGACCAATATCCCTTAATTAAGGGATATACCGTTAATTGTAGTAGGATCCCCAATATGATTTAAGGAATGTTCCTTAATTAAGGGGGGGTGGAGTCTCTGGGTTTTGCTGGCTAAACTGCTCAAGATGTGCGCAGGGGTTCCCGTTGCAGTGCCTACTAATCCTATAACGATCAGCAAGACCTTCCAGAAGACCCAAGTGACAGCAATGTCCCTATGATGGAACTCTAGACCCAAAACAGGAGAAGCCTCTAACCCACTACTTTGGAGGTTCATGGGCAGTTATAAGTGGGGTTATAAGTCCCTTAATATGGGTCAACAATATAGTTACCCCACCTATAACCCTACTTATAACGAGCCATGGACCTCCAAGTAGACCCTAAACCCTATACCCTTATAAGATCCCTAAGGATCCCTTTAAACGGACCCTTAAAGGAACCCTTCATCACTACCCATGGACATCCAAGTAAGCTCCAGCGCAGCCCCCTGACCTCGGCCTCCTCTGGAAGGCCCAGGGGTGCTTCGAAGCTGCCAGAGGCACCCGGGACTGAATTGCCCTGGCGTAAGGTAGCCGTAAGGTCCCAGATGCCCGGGAGGATCTAAAAAGAGTTGATTCCCTGAATGGGCGGGGTTCCTATTATAAAGTACCCTTAGTAGTATAGGGCCCCAAATTGGGGGGATCTACTTTCTAGATCCTCCCGGGGTCTGGCGTAGAAACCCTTTTGGTTGGCAACATAGTTTGTTCCGAACGGTTCCGATGTGAAGGAAGCTTTAGAACAGTCCGCTTCTAACGGTTGTTCAGCATGATCTTCACGTGCCGATTCCCCATCGTGCTGTCTCGTGAGTAAACCCAAAGCCCTACAACCCTCTGACAGTGTTCGTCATAAATGTAGGGGTTTAACCTTTAGAAGAAGGTCTTACTGGGGCCCAGTATACTATGACTACAATAAGGAACCCAATATAGCATTGGTAATTCTTCAGGCCCCGGTAGTACTCTGTGGGGACCTGTGTGATCGATGTTTGGCTTTCACTGTTCCAGAGAGCCTGCTGCCGGCTTTACGGAAGGATCCCGGCTTCTGCAATCCGATTCTAGCTCTTTTGTGGCAATGGTGGCTTCATGACGTGTCTTAGTGCTGCGGGTTGGCTTCTGACTCATCCAGTTGTTATTGTTCCGTACTTATCATCCGTGCCATTGTTGCTGAAATTGTTGCAGCCATGGTTACGTTCATCATCGTCGTGGTTATGATCACTGCTGTGTATCTGTATTGAAATTATGGTTCACTTAGAAGAAGACTCTACTGACTTGACCGCGCTTCCCCCCGACCTTGTTGTAGAAGATCCGAAAGAACAAACATGAGTGTGGCCTTGGCGACCCGATGCAACGAGTTTCTTCTATACTATTTTGGGTGTGTGACTTATTATATTTCTAGTATCATGGGCCCCACAACCCCATTCTCATTGTTCCGGCCCCTATATTGGTTAATCGCAGAGGCTCAGGGGCAAACGCACGCCGGACTGGCAGTGCTAGAGCGACTTCGCTGCCACAATCATGGGTGTTGCGTTCGGCAGTTTTGGGAAGGAGGTGGTGATACTATTGAAGTCCGTGCGTTGCGGGCACTGAGAAACGGGATGGGGTTTCGGGGATGGCTTGCTTAAGTCAGACGTTTTTAGCGACCAGTGGTAGCCCCCAAGACCTGACGCACTTATCATCGCAATATGCATAACCGGTTGACTAACAGCAGTAATAACAAAAAAATCACATCGTGTCACTGCTGGTGGCTGTGCAATTGCGGCAATTACAGCTACTGCAGCATCAACCATCACTGCGCCTACAAACAGTGAGACTGATGGTCATTAAAAGGGCATATGACTAGAACACTGACGGGACGATTGGTCTTGAGAACGAGTGCGACAAGAAGACCCGATAATTCACCATGCCAAGAGCTTCAACATCAACAAACTGTCACAAACTACTTCCTCCTTTCTTGCTGGCTTGAAGGCTTTTTACCGAGTTCCAGTTTTGCTTTGTTCAGCGCGTACAGGGCGCACAGTTTTCCACTCTTCCGGAGAATCCATCGTCATGTGCTTCACCACCACCACCACCACCACCATAGGCGACGTCATGGCCCCCATCATAAAGCCGCTACCACCACATCTCTTAACTCACGCAAGGAATGTTTTGACCAATGCTGGTTCTGTTGCGAAGCAAGCAACACATCGACTAAAGTTTCGGAATTCAACCATTGAGAATTGCACAAGATCCATCATCACAGTGACGAGAAGAATGCCTTCTTCCAAGCACGTGTGGCTCCTGTTGCAGTTCTTCTTTCGCTGTGTTGTTAGTTGTCACTGTTGCTGCCCGCCTCCCCTGCTCCTCCCTGCTAGCAGCTCTTCCTCATGATGAAGTCGGCTTTGTTTGCTGTAGCTGGTGCTACCGGGAAATCCCTGCCAACGAACCAGGTCGCGCGTCCACGCCTTGGAAAGAATGGCGACCAACATGCAGGAGCCTGTTCGATGGGCGCATGTGAGCTCATCTCCATGGGTTATGTAGAACCGGAGTTGGCAGTTTGCCAAGACAGTCGCTGCTTGTCGCAAAGGCTATACACTTCTGCAGAGAGCCCTAGTCGAAGTAGACATTGAACTTTGTTGTGCGAGACCAAGCACTGCCCAAGCGGTTCAAGCAAGTGCGCATAGGAACAGAGTGCGGCAGCCGACAGCATGCGCCGCTCCTCACAGTTCGACCTTTCGAAAACCTTGGGCCGCATTCTCCGGTATGAGATACACAAGTACAGTCTCACTCCAGACGAGAGCGGATGGGTGCAGCTGCACGAGCTCATCCAGAAGTGTGGCATCACCCACTCCAGAGAGGACGTCGTTGAAGTGGCTCGCACCAGCGCAGGATCGCAAGGCAGACGCTTCGATTTGGATGAGCCTGCTAAGGGCTTCTTCCGAATAAAAGCAAGGTATGTACATGGCAAAGGCGGCAAGGCTTCTGGCAATCGCCAGGGGGGAAGCCCGAATGGCAAGGCTAGCACCTCCATGCCGGAGCCTGCAGAGACGAGAAGTTACACACACCTCAGGCGGAGCTCCACGGATGAAGTGCCTGGGATTTCTGGAGGCTCTGGCTCAATCATGACAAGTCGGACAGAGACTGCCGATCTGTTACGGTTCAGCCGGGCCACAGAGAGAGAGGCCGAGACGGTTGGAGACTGTCAGGACTCCTTCGGACCGGAGTCCTTTGACATCTCCACACCACGGTGCATGCGGGAGAGCCTTTGGGAGAAGTACGAGGATCCCACGACAGGTCGGATCTGGTTTTTCAACAGCGAGAAAGAGGAGTTTTTTTTCGAAGACACAGCCGCAGACAGTGGGTGGCGCAGGTACGACAGCGATGTCGGGCCGTGGTGGCACAATGAGAGCACAGAGACTTGGTTTATGGAAGGAGCATTGAACTAGACAGCTGCGGCGGAAAAAGGACGCGAGAAACAAGGGAGCCTGGCAATGGTATCTCAAGACGTCAGTCAGCCTGGGGGCGCACTGCACTTATTCAATACTGATTTAAACTTCCCTCCGACAGTCCGACAGGATGGTAGCGTCAGGATCCCCATGATCATCCTTGCTCACGGAGAGCGGTGTTGCTTTGTGTGTGCTCTCTCGCTCTGCCTCAGGAGGACACGGAGAAGATTTTACAGCTGCTTCTTGACTTGAGCTCAGGGGTCGTGAGACGACGTTTAGCATATGAAATGGTCTCCTGTTTCGAGATGGTTCTTAACCTGGCTTACCAACCATACTGGCATGGCACTATATGATGATGGATGACGCTGTTTCAGTTGAGCTCTCTAAGCTTCAGAAGAATTCCTTAGGTGAGGATGCAGAAGAAAGCCGAATGCAGCTGAGCCGTCCACGCTCTCTACTTCACAGTCTCAGACCGCTACTCACCATAGGGGCAGCAATCATTACCTACACTATTTTTTTGATGGGGGGGTGCAATGGGCCCCAAAACCCTGCTCGAATTATTAAGGCCTTTATATTACTTACTCCCTTATAGTAGTTCTTTCAGTAACCCTTATAGACCTCTGCAAAAAGGGAACCCTATTCTAATTCCCTATATTTATCCACCAGGCCTCCCTGACGAAGGAACTTGTCAAGCGTCGGAGACTCTTCCGGGGTAAACCCTTGAAGCCAATCTACCTAGAGACTCCAAAGCCGCTTAATGAAGGAATGTACATGTTGGGTTAAAAGGATCTATAGGGTTTAGGGTTTAAGGGCTTCCAATATCCCTTAATGAACGGACGTACCTTAAATCACATTAGGGATATTATTATGGTTTAAGGTAAAGTCCTTAATTAAGGGGTTTTGGAGGCTCTGAGAGAGAGGGCATGCAGGCACCACTGTAAGGGATTTCAGTAGGGCTCCTCTTGAACCTCCAGGTTGACGCAGGACAACTCTGTGAAGAGGCCGTCGGGAGCTGGCTCATGTAGGGATGTTCCGAAAATTGGGGGTGCCTCATTTTGGGGTCCTTATAATAGGGATCCTATTGTTTAGGGTACCATATTAGGGTCCCCTGTTTTCGGAAACTGCCATGTAGGGATGTTCCGAGATACCCTTCCCTGTCAGGCAGTTGAAGGATGTAAGGAAGGCAATAAGGAGCACATATATCCCAAATAGTGCCCTGTTCTGGCTAAGTCATTTAGATAGCGGTTCAGCAGAACAAGGCAAAGGCCGGACGCCACATTTTTTAACCAAAGCAAATGAGAACATAAGTGCAGCGTGTGCCCTTGGAGCTCTGAGATCGATGCTAGGGACGCTTTGCAAATACTCACAGCCTTGCATCTGCACCTTGAGAGTGCAACCTGGGCTCAGTCCTCGAAGCTCCGAAGCCATTTTGCTGTGCACCCGTCCCGCACGTTGCGGTGCTTTTTTGGGAGGGGTTCGGCTCCTCGACTTCACTCCCGGCCCGAGTCGGCTTCCGATTCCGGTTCCGATTGGTTGAGGGTTTGGGGAGGGTTAGGGCTTCGACTGTGGGTTTGATTCCGGTTCCGATTGTGAAGCCCTAAACCGTTGGCAGGGCCCCTGCTGCTGCTCTCGGACCCTCTTTCGACGAGGACGGGGCAGGGCGGAGGGGGGGGGGAGGGGGTCGGGGGATTTCATTTCGACTTTCACTGTGTTTAGGGCTTCGGGCATGGATGAAAGGGGTCGCAGGGCCTTGGGGTGCTTCGGTCTTGAGGGTATTTGATCTCTTTGGGGCAAGACCGGAATCTAGCCTTCGTCGCTTGGGTACCTGATGAGTTCCCGGGAAGGCTGTTTTTCATCGCATGTCAGGCACGGAGCCAGGAGGCATCCGGAATTTGCCGCACCCTCGAGCCACAACCGACAGCCCCCTCAAAACCTCTAATTGCCAAACCAAGAGCCTACTTGTAAGAGCTCATCGTCCAAAACCCCTTTGAGCTTTGGCACCCGAGCCCCATACCCTTTAGTTCAGGAGTACTCCTCAAATCAGAATGAGAACCCTTCCATAAGTTTTTGAACAAGAGTTTTCGGTGGGCTGCTGGGCGCAAGACGCAGGCATCGCACCCCCCATAAACACCCTACCGGATCCTTTCCGACCCCGTATATATCCTTACACCTACCTCAGAGGGGGCTGAAAAAATGCAGCGTTTTCTGGTGGTGCGGACCTAGATTCCTTAATTCTACAGGAACTACAGCTGCTTTTTGTGCTATTCTAACTATCTATGGACTGCAAGGTTCCCTTGCACAATTACGGGTATATAAACCCCCAAAGAAACCTTTGCCTGATTCTTCGGGCGCCTTACAGTAGTCATAAGCAAAGTAGTGCTTCGAGGCTCACATAACTTGGCAGGTGGGCTAGAGCTAAGGTTGAGGCTAAGATAGCCCAAGAGTGCCAAATACAACCGACTCAATTCACGTCGTTTCTTAGTTCCTTGTGCCGACACCTCGCTGTGTTGCCTCGGCAGTAAGAGCAATCACATGGAATGTCGTTAGACAATAACTAGAAAGATCGCTTATAAGAAGGGTAAGAAGAGCCTTACAACCGAAGAAGCAACCCTAAACCCTCAACCAAACACTGACTATGATGGCAAGAGAACGGCAACAGAAACGGTAGCGACTGCTTGCTCATTGCCCTCACAGCGAACCGTCAGTGAACTCGCCTAGCGTTTACAGGCAAGACTCGATTTCATGTGTGTGTGTTTGCAAATATTTACTGCATGTGCAGAATGTGCATTCCGGCTGCGTGTTCGCAGGAAGGGGCAGAGTAGATTCCTCAGGTGGGGATAAACTCACAATACCAGCAGCACAGAAGCATGGTGACACTGATTACACCGGCAAGAAACATAGTGGCAATACCTGTACGCCCACAAGCTCGACGAGGACCTGCAACAAACGCTGCGGCCGACGTCTGCCGAGATCGAGCAGACGCTGAGCAGCAAAGAGACTGGTTTGCTCTATCTGCGGGACATGCTTCAACTGGGGCTCAAACTGAAACGAAGCCAGACGGGCTTGGCGCTTTTGAGAGTCGCAGTCCTGGCCTGCATCGCGCTTATGATGCTCATTGCTCTTGCTGCTGAAGATGATGATGCTGATACTGATGACGGTGGTGGTATGTTTGTAGCATTGCGAGTGAACGGGGTATTATCGCGACCAGCATCAATCTCAGCGTCTTCACCGGTTGAAGTACCTCCGTGCTAGCTTTGCAAGCGGTAGCATCCAAATAATCACCATCATGCTCTCGGCGAGAACCATGGCTTTCGTTGTCATCCTGGCCGGCGCAATCAATGTTACCGTGGTTTCTGGTTGCAAAGGCAAAGGCTGTCCTCCAAGAAGCACAAGAAGAAGAAGCAGCCCATCGTGCCTTGGCAACGCTGCACTCCTTGCAGTCGTCCAGTGCTTAGCTCGGCCCGAGTCAGGGGCGGTCCCCCGTTATTTCAGGTGGACTCAGAGCAGGCGGTGGGAGCACCCCAAACAAACCTCTGGCAACCTGTGGTGTGCGGTGCCCGTATGCCTTGGCCAGAAAGTCACATCTATGGTTCAGAACTGAGAGTTTACGCTTAGTACATGCTCGGGTTCAGTGATATTTGAGGGTTGATGTGTACTGGCTGGAGGATTTTGTTGAGGCTTTGCAGTCCCCGGTTTGCTGGGGTGTTTGGGGCGTAAGACGCTTCAAGAAGGCTCTATGGTGTGAGAGAGTTGTCCGAGGTGTACTCTTGGTCTGCTTCACCACCAGTGGATGTACCCCGGCGCAGTTAAAGATTGCCTTGCAAAACCAATTCTAAATCATGTTTGTATGGGCGTGAACATCTAGAGCATTCCGATCAACAGCAAGACGCTGTGAGGTTTGATTTTCTTGCCTATGGAGTGGATGTTAGTTCGTGGCGTGCGCGCACGTTCAAGCGCGCATGATCCGCATTAGCATCGCAGCGACTAGCCAGCATATGCTAGGGTCGGAAAGAATGCGAGGCCGATGAAGTGGTTCTGCTTCGTCGCCGTGTGGCACAGCTCGAGGTCAGATGTATCTTGTTGTTGCGGGTCTGGGCACAAGGGTGCATGTTGCTTGTAGCCGTAGATACAGTTGCGCACTGGCAGGAGTGGTAGCACCAATAGCGGCAATAGCTAATCGCGCAAGTGTTGCAGTCCCTGTTTAGTGTTGACATGTTGTCGTCGGAGATTCCGCTTGTGCCATGAAACAAGAGCTGGAACACCCCGGTATCCATCGTGCAACCGTGGTGCCTGTAGCTGGAGCGGCAGTAACAGCTGCAGCAGTGTCATGCGCGTTCGATGCAGGCAGAGATTCGCAAAATGACGATGCAGCAGTTCTGGCCTCAATCGCCTTCGTAGAGCTCGACATTCCTCAAAGCTCAAGCTATGAGCAAGAGCCGGCCGGCCACACATGGCAAACGTTTGCCGGAACATCAAGCCCAAGAGCAAAACCGCAGGTTCCAATGTTGAATGTCTCCTGCTACCTGTCGAGATTGATTGAAGAACGTTCCCAAGACATGTAAGGCCACAAAATGGTCGTACGCATGGCTTTGGTTGTAGGATGTGTTGCTGGGTGTTCTAATGTTAGAAGCTGATCGAACGGTTTGCTTGACGACGTAGCTCCAAAGCCTCAGACTTGGTGGTCGTGCCGCAGTTTCAACAAGGCAGCGCTGGGCAATGTCAAATGCCGAGACTGTCACCAGAAATGAGTAGCATCTTCAGTTCCGCCTCCCTTTCCCCTCATGCGCCAGCCGAGGCATGAGCTCGACCAACCAGATTTCGAGTGACTACGCGCGGGCTTCTCCGCAGTGTTAGACTTCCCAAGCTGACAGGAATTCTGCTTGAACACCCAGTCTACAGTTTAGGGCCTAATATGTTCCCTATCATAACTATATCATAACTATAGTATACTATTACCCGCATATACCCTCTTCCAATCACTTATGAAGGCCCCTATAGTA